GAGTTATATGTATATATATATGATAGTCATCATGTTTGATTTGGGACGTTATATGTTTCAAATGATACCATTTGTTTTAGTTGACGAAAATATGTGTTTTTCAATGAAAAAAATCGGTATTTTGCAGATGAATTGTACACTTTGCATTATATCCAATTTCCTTAATATCATCCTTAGAAAATGAACAAATACTCAGAGATGAAAATTATCGGTAATCCAAAATGACAGTTCGAATACGTTTTGAAGACTTATTGATCAATTATGTTCGTTGTATGTTGAAAAAATAAGGTGAATTATTATTTTTCTCAAAAATCTATTTATTTTTGGTATGTCGTTCAGCTCTCTCAGATTCAGTTTTATTTCCCCAATCGTCACAAACCGCTAACCTTCCGTGGGCCTCTACGACGTTAGGAACAGGAAAAAATCGCAAGGGGGCAAATATGGTGAGTACAGTGGCTAAGGCATGATTACGGTGGTGTTTTTGGCAAAATAATCACGCTGTCGCTTTATTCGAAATTGTATTCTCATTATAAACGTACTTTCCGATACGTATATATGATTCAGAATATGTTCGAAAATTTGAACTGACCCCAAAAGGGACGTAATCTGAATGACGTCGTTAAATCCATTTTCTATGAGGTGGAAATTTAACGCGTCTTTTAATTTTCATGATTCATTGTCTTATTTTATATTTCACAGACAATTTTATAAGCTATCAGCATTGTCTTTCTTCTAAAACAAATTTGCCGTGAACTTTGAATGATAATTATAATGTTTCTATCATTATTCCCGACGAAGCAAGCGAAAATGACTAGCACTTTCTGTGTACTGGGAACTATCAACAGAATAACGGTCGCATGGAAACTCTACATTAATGAGAACTTAAAAATGCATACGTTAATGATGATTAGGCAAGTTTTTCGAAAAATAAAATTAGTTAACAGCTCCACGTCGAGATTGCTAATCCAACTTCCATTACGGTTACCGGGTCTTTACCAGACTTCCGGCCTGCCAGCTTATTATAAATTCAACATCTAAAATACAACGCTGTTAACTAAAATTCATTTACACACTCATAATTAATAATATCCAAATGAGAAATGACTCGAATATGCAAATTCAAAGCAAACAAAAGAAAACCAGAGAAGTGCATTCGGTCGCCTTTTTGCACAGAGAAAAAGCCAATTTGAATTACAGGGAATTCGATAAGAATCTTCGTGTATCAGATTCTAAATTACTGATAGAGGGAATTCTTAAATACTTATCGCAAAACGCTTGTTCATTGTTACGAATATGAAATACGATACAAGAGATTTATTTACTGGAATTGATTGTCAAAAAAACGAACGATTTTGAGTTTTCTTGAAAAGTTAAATAATGGACTAAGAATATTCGATAATTTTATTAAAAACTAGTGAGCCATTCAGGCTTTGCATGCCTATTGATTTTCTTCCGTCACAGAGTCAACTTGTAACTAAAAATAATGATCTCTGCTAAAACCAACTCGAACATAAATATATTTACAACCAATAATTTGAATTCAGAAATAAGTAAGTACCTTTGAATCATGACCTTATTACCTTCAAAACCACAAAAAAAAGTGATTCACAACGCGAAACAAAACGCAATTGCAATCTTTTTTCATTACGCGGACTGCATCAGTTGTGAGGCCACTTGAATATATTTTGTCGTTTATAGTTTCAGTTTTATAATAACTCGCAAGATATAAACTTTAATTCATTGAAGAACCATTAAACTGAGTGAGGAATGATCAACAATTATGTGACTATTTTTGAATAATTAAAATGGGTATTGCAAGCTATCCTTAAAAGATAGAGATATGCCATAGCGGACTTATCTGTAGAAGTATAAAAGAAAAATAAAATGTACTGAATTGAACTGTGAAAATAAGTGGAATAATCACAAAAAACTATAAATAATTCACACAGGTTTCCAGAGTAATTACACAAACTATGATAGGTAATTCAATTAGGTGTGTAATTTTTGTGATATCCTGTACAGATTTACATAAAATCACACGAAGTTACAAAAATTTTCAAAAATTTGAAAACCTCATTATGATAAAAAAATTGTATCGAATAAAAACAGGAGAGGCATATTTATGGATTTGTTCAGTCTACGTTTTTGCCTAAATTTCATTATCGGTATTGAGGAGCTTGAAAATTAATTCTGTAAACTTATATTTTCGTGCATTTTTTTTAAACCAAAATTTATGAAGTTTTGTAGTGAAGAGAAAGTGAATCGACACTCTAAGTCACTGCCATTCGATAAATAATTAGAAGAAATTTAGGTTGATATTCAAAACAAATGGTACAGAAATGCGAATAAATCCCTCAAACTTATGTCATTCCAGAAAAAAATTGAAAAATTTTCATTATAATTCATGTAAAATCACAGACTAACTGTAAAATCACAAAAAAATACTATTCATGGCAACAATTCCTTATTCTATTTTGTTAGGCATTGAGATATTACATTAAAAATTATGGTGAAAACAAAACAAATTTCGTTGAAATACATCAACAAACTCTATTGAAAAATCATAATCCGGGTAGAATTTCACTAGAATTAAAATTACTAGTTATTCAAATGAATATAAAAAACAAATTGTAGGGAGATAAATTTACACCTCAAGTCTATGTCATTTTGCAAAAAACAAAAAATGTTTTGATAAGTCATGTAAAATTACAGATAATTTTGTAAAACAAACAAAATTTACCTCGAGAAAAACTAAAATCATGAAAATTCACTATTCATACCAACAATTTTTCACTCAAGTCTGTAATGAATTGAAAAATACAACTCCCCACGTCTATGTCAGCTAAGGGAAATCACAATAATTTCATGTAAAATTACAGATAATTTTGTAAAAGATGAAAATTTAATAATTTATTCATGGCCACAAATTTCCATTCAATTCTGGATAGCATTGAATTATCACGTACAGAATACAGTAAAACACATACATTCTTGCATTTTCATTGAGAAATCAAAATCCTCATGGGGCTTTGCTATCTTTCGTACTGGCCCAACACAACCAATGATTATTACTGTGAATTTACATTTTACTTCTCACTATATGTCGAGGCAGATAACATATTTGATCAAATTTACACAAAACAATGATGAATTATACACATGAATGTTCTTCTTGAAAAATCACGCAATTAAAAACAAATCGTAGAGAGAGAAATTTACATCTCAATTCTATGTCATTTTGCAAAAAAAAAATGTTTTTGATAAATCATGTGAAATTAAAGATAATTTTGTGAAACAAACAAAATCTATCTTGAGAAAAGATGAAATCAGGAAAATGCATTATTCATACCAACAATTCTTTACTCAAGTTTGTAATGAATAGAAAAATACAATTCCTCACGTCTATGTCAGCTAAGGGAAATCACAATAATTTTCATTAAATGTCATGTAAAATTACAGATAATTTTGTAAAAGATGAAAATGTAATAATTTATTCATGGCCACAAATTTCCATTCAATTCTGGAATGCATTGAACTATTACGTGTATACAAAAATACAGTAAAACATATACATTTTTGCAGTAATACATTGACAAATTTCATTGAGAAATCAAAATCCTTATGGGACTTTGCTATTTTTCGTACTGGTCCAACATAACCAATAATTATTACTGTAAATTTACATGTTACTTGTCACTATATGTCGGGACAGATATCATATTTGATCAAATTTACACAAAACAATGATGAATTATACACATGAATCTTCTTCTTGAAAAATCACGCCGTTCATGGGATAAAACAGTAGGATGAAAATCCGTTCGCTAGTTTTGGGGTTTATCTCATTCAGAAAAACACAGCGATGACATTTTGTTTCATGATATAATAATAATTATTATTATTGTCTTTATTTGTATCTTGGCTGAGTTTGGCTCACGCCATTCTAGCGGCGGTCTACAGATGATGATCAAAGATCTATCATTACTCTAAAATGAAACAAAATCAAAAATTTCTCATTGACACTCAATATGTTTTCTGTTTGTAACAGAAAAAATCTGTCAACATCACAAGAGAGGGTCACATAAAGCCATGGGTGTAATTTATAAGCCAATAAAATACATGACGACAGATATTGCAAGTTGCACGAAACTCCATTATTTTTTAATGTAAGAGTCTGTGGTGGTTTTATTATTCATTTTATTGCAGTGTTGGCAACGAATCATAATGTATGACGAAAAGGTGAATGAAAAAGAAATCATTATTGACTGGTACGGTTAGTTGAATGTTCAATTAGTTTTTTTTCCTATTTTTTGCATTTTTATTAGTATTTTTGAGGTGCAAGATTGGAAGGAAACTCGTAAGCAGTAAGTTTTGCTGAATAAATAGATAAGAGTAAATTATTCAAAACAAACCCTTCTCCCAAACACCAAAATTGCAATATTCTTCTCTTCTTTGAGGGGAAAAGAGTATTTCTGTCCATTTTTATTAGGGGTTGATCTGTGCGATTGATGGCGCTTTCCTTCATTCATTAGTATTACCTATTTCTGTTACATTTACTTCCTCAAGCCAAAGACATACCAATTCACACTTCAGTAAACGAAAACAATACATACATACAATACCTCACAAAGAATAGTCTTCAGCAGCAGAACTACATTGGAATCAATCGAACAGATCAACTACAGATGACATTTATTCGCCCATACACGTATATATTGAGATTCAGTCATAATCATCTTCTAATCATGCTAACTTTTTTTATTCAAACGCGCGACCAGAAACAGTATTTAAGTTTTGGAGTGATGAAAGGTCAGACCTTCCAAATCTGCCTACCAAATTGGCAAATATGTTGGGAAGTAACGGGCCAAGAATGTTTCCTTGAGGAATACCTAGGACTATCTCAGCAGCCTCCAGATAAAAAGCCTAATATCCACTTAATATGACACACTAGGATTCATTTGGTTGATTCAATGAACTAACTATAACCTTTTCCATTTCAGGAGGATGTTTCCGACCCTGAGGGTGTCTTTCACCGGCATTCGCAGCGATCAAAGATACGCCGTACTCTTAGATGTGGTACCTGTCGACAATAAACGCTACAGGTACGCCTACCATCGATCATCCTGGCTGGTTGCAGGAAAAGCAGATCCTCCTGCTCCCAACAGACTCTACGCTCATCCAGACTCGCCTTACTCAGGAGAACAGCTGAGGAAGCAGGTAGTGTCCTTCGAGAAGGTCAAGCTCACCAACAACGAGATGGATAAGAATGGTCAGGTGAGTCTAGGGTCGAAGAGCTCTTGTTGAATCGCTAAAATAACTTTTCCTCAGTGTGGAGAAGAGATTGGAAATAGATCTCTTTTAGACTATGTTGGATATCTTTGTCTTTTTCTTTGGGAACCTTGTAGATTTTTTGTATCTTTGCTTTGTCTCAGAACACTTGAGTTTATCAAAAGATAGAGTAGAAACCCCCAGCTTGAAATATGGATCCAACAAAAACAGTGAATAGATTTGCATCAACTTGATTGGTATTATGCATATTGGGAAAAATGATTCGGTTCGGTCAAAAAATACACCCTGTACACTACATATTGTAGAATATATAAAGAATATGTAAAGAATATGTAGAATATGTGGAATATGTAAAGGATATGTAAACTTTTATGGCTTAAAGTAAATTAATCCGTAAATTCGTTCAAAAAAACACCCTGTATACTACATAATGTAGAATATTAAAGACACATCGTCATTCTGACCAAATAGTAGCACTTTTAAGCAAAATGATTCGCGCGCTCAAAATGTTATCCCGAGTGACAGAAATGATAATAAAAGTCCGCTAACAAATGATAATTTATAAATCCGGTGATCCCATGTTAAGGCTTATTCAGTACTTATTATTTATTAAATAGTTGTGGAATAACATACACAAATTGTTGGTGGTAAACGACTTTCGTCAGGTGTGTATTCTACCAGTGGCGTACAAGACTTAGTCAATGTAGAATTAACACAGAGTATTTATATTTTTTTTTCTAAGTACATTTATCAATAGATATAAAAAACATGTTTTATTTGCTTATCAATTCACAATGATTTGAACAAATCATGTTTAGTCTGCATGAAAAGTCGTGAATTAATGAAAAATTATTGGGTTTTACACAAGAAATTAAAAAAGAGTAAAAATAGAGTTCTACCAGATGTTTGGAGGAAAGTTAATGCCATTCTGGCTGATGTAGAACAAACACATCATCCAATTTTGGGTTGCGATGTAGATCAATGATCAAAACCATTGATCTTTCATTTGAATACTGTGAAAGTAAGAGAGAATCTGTTTATATCCGGCTCGAAGGTCCATACTGTTAAACCCGTTCATGTAAATAACAGATTATTCAATTTTTGTTTCGTCCTCCTAATCAAATCCAGTTTCAGTTTTTTACCCAATACTCCGCCACTGCGTACTAATACATGCTTGAAAGATAGTGGCTACCCACTTGCCCGTGGATTATACCATTCATAAAGGTTCAGAACAGGTGACCGTTTGCTCGTAAATATTGTATTTCATACAGCCCTCAGTCATATAACGATAAAAATAATAATTATGGCTAATAAAATTAATTCTTCATCATTTAGAGACTTTTTAACGTTTCTAAACATTACGGAAATATTTATCGATTCTAAAATCGATTTGTCACTGGAAGTGTCTTCAATCAGCGTGGAAATATACACTGCATAGAAATAGAAATGAAAGATATGGAGAATTCCAGTGTTTTTTCATCTCTTTGAAAACCTTTTTTGATACTATCAAGAAACTTTTTGAATTTACTTCATGATTTGGAACAAATCTTTGTGGGTAGAAGTTCGAACCTCTAGCTTAAAATGAATCTATTGCACTTTTTCCACACCAGAACATAAAAAACCGTACCTCGACTCGAGTTTCGCTAACCAAGTAATCATCATCAGGAGACTAAGATTCAATCCTACGGCTATATTAATGTTTTTATATGCTCCTAGAAGATTCATCACCTTAGATGAAGAGGGTCAATTTATTAAAGTAAACTAATGTTAGTTTGTCGCCGTTAATGGATCCAATTCCATATATTTCAATTTCCAAACTTTCAAATGCATCCGAGACACTGTTATCATGTACTGATCTCCATAAATTCAAGAAGTTCTGCCGTTTTCTATGTCATATTGAACTACACTAGATTTCTCTGGTCTATCGAACTAAATATGTAAAACATGTTTCTTTTAGCGAGTTGTTATACTCCGCTCAGTTTGACCAACATATTCTTCATCACAATGCCTAGAGTTTGTTTTGTTGATTCCAGATTTTTCCTTTTCCGCCGTCTATGAATCAGTTTTAGAGTTCACTAGGAATAAAAAATATTGCCTTTATAATATATATAAAGTCAACTCGAATGGCATAACCACTAAATAGTTACCGAACGTCGGCAGTTTCTTTGTATGGCATGGACGGCGTGGTATGATTTTTTTTCTCTCCATTTATTATTTTTATGTGGAAAGTTTCATATTATTAATTAGTGAATTTATCAGACCCGGTACATTAGTTTTCTATTTAGCTGCTAGGCGTTTGGTTTACGCGTACATTTATAAAAGGCTTCTAGAAATTTATGAAAATAAACATCAGTACTTTGGACATTCCGAAATACATAATCACAGCAGATACCTCTTTGAGAAAACCACAAGTGAACAAAGTAGTCATGATTTTCTCCTGTCAACGAACTCTTTCAATTCATATCTCTGAGTTGGCAACTCTGTGTATTTGTTAGGTATTGGTGTCATTTGTCACGTTGATTATTCAAGACGTCAATTCAAATAAATATCAAGGAAACAAAACGGCAAATTAATACAATAAAAACGCCAAAAAATGGACAATATGAACGTCAATTACAGTGACAGTTGACACTTATGTCATTTACACATAGTAGCCAACTTAGAAGAAAAATACATGTGCTCCAATCCAAATGCTTATCCGATATGGTGAATTCTGTCCCAGAAGAAATTGTTCGGCCAAAGATAGCCATGACCAAGTGAATTTTAATCTCTGTTCAGATCTGAGAGCGAACAAGCTCCTACTTAAATTAACATGACTCCGTTTCTCGTATTTTATGAGGGTACAAGGTGTTCTTTTGTGAGGCTAATGAAGAGTTGTCGGCCGTGGTTTTTGATGAATGAATTAATGTACCCATTGAGATAAGGATAATGTTTTAAATTGGCGCTGTAAATCAAATCGATATCGGAAGCCGTTCCAACGGCTGATAATACAACAGGGGTTGTGTAATTTCCAGCGCGAGATTCTCAGAAGCGATTACATGAATTAAGTAATTAAAAATTTTGAATTGAGACGCGAATGAAACGCTGGTTGCGGTACTGGAAGGTCCAGAAAGGGGTGAATTTCAAGTAGGTTGATTCTGGAATATTCTTTGTTTGAATTTGGCAGTGTAGTGGTAGAAGATCTCAATTGAAACATCTGTTCGATTGAACAGGATTGTTTTATATGAAATGTGGCATGTTGAAAATTAATCGAAAAAAGCGTTTTTTCATTACACTCATTTGTTTAATGAACAAATTGTATAACAATCGAACTGACTAAGCCTTTGAAATATACAAACGAAGTGCTTTTTTCTGGCGTAACTATTGGGTTGAAAGATATAAACAAAAGGTTTGACATTAGTATACAGTGTCATCCCCAAAGTATGCACCATTTGGGAAACTTATTTATTAAGGGTTTTTCGACAAAAAGTTATTCTTCATAAAAGTTTGTGAATTTCCTGAAACTGAACATGCAACAACAAACTGCAGTAAAACACACGTAATATACGAGGAGCCTTCAAATATTTGATTTTGAGACAAGAGCAAAGTACCCTTATTTTGAAAAATCTCGCAAAATGTTAGTGTGAAAAGTTGTTCAGCAATAAAAAATATATCTAGATTTAAAGTCATGGCCATCTAAGTGGAGTTTCATATTCTTACCCATTTTTGAAAATGGGAACTACGAAAACAATAAATAGACTGCATCTTGTATACAATGGATTATTTCAGAAGCCTGTGATATTACGAATTACACAACTATAGTGTTAACCATGGTAGAGTACTTTACTCTTATCTCAAAATCAAATATTTGAAGGCTCCTCGTATATTACGTTTGTTTTACTGTATTTCGTGAGTGCATGTGTACTTTTATCAAGAATAACTTTTTGTCGAAAAACCCTTAATAAATAAGTTCCAATATGGTGCATATGCGTAGTTCAATTTCATCGTTTTTATACTGAAATATGGTAGCATCCTAAATGTGATGAAGTGGATTTTCACTGTAATCATCAATGGCTGGCAAGTTATTGATGATCACAATAGTCATAGTTGATCGCAGAAATAATAGGATGGGGCCAAGTATCAAGCCTTGTGGTGATGTGTTATATTCTGTTTCTTGATAGTAGAAAGTTATAAATACTCATTATGAACTCAAAGATTCATTGTAACAGGTTATCACATATCGGCCAATAACCTGCGATTAAATATTATAATGACCCGAGTCTAACAGATCATGAAATATATTTGGGAGATTATATTAAATAACACTCCCTATTTCTCGTCGCATTTTTCGATTCCACACATTATCTCGCATGGATTTGTTTATGATAATGGCGTCCATAACCATTAGCTTCCAAATTATGCAATTGACATACTTTCACTGGCCTATCTCGGCGAGGTTCTTTATAATCATACTCCATTAGCGCGAGTTCACAAGCGCGAGCACGAAAATAATTTTCCCATTTTGAAAAATTGCGTTTCGTAATTTCATGTTTTCACGTCAACTGTTTAAGTTACTTGTGATTGATCGGCATCATAATTCTTCAAAGTTGGCCATGGATTAATCGGGTGGTTTCTTGCGATAGCGGACCGGGATAAATAGACGCATTTTTCACCTAAATTGTTCGATGAAGGCAATGAACGTATCTGTAAAGTAGGAAGGGCGAGTGTAGGCCCACAGCCGTAGGTGCCACTGCATCCTAAAATTCTTAGTCCAGCCTCTTTCTTGACTAACAAGTCGGCAATGCGATTACCTCTACTCCTGTCGTGCCCTTCAATCCTCCTCAGGATAATGTTATTATCTACCGAGGCTTTGACTAAATCTTAGTAGCACTATAGTACCAGCCCTGAGGTAACACTTTGTCTGTTCAAGGCTAATAGGGCTTGTCAGCTACCAGTGCAAATTGAAATGTTTTTGCCAGAGATTCCTTTCCTGGTTATTTCTTTTG